TATATATATTTTTTTTTTTTAATATATGTTTTTCTTTTGAGCCTTGCATTCTTACATCCATGTTAGGAAACGTGACATCGCACAAGCTTGGTTCAAGCTTTGCCGTGTGCACGTTTTCTCCAAGGCTCTGTTCACCTTCGATGTTGCAAAAGGGTTTGCTTGTGAAGACCATTGAAATAAGCTCCGCCCCCCACGTGCTCATCCTGCCGCCAAAGCTCCCCCGTCAACTTGGATGTCCTTTGTCCTTTTTGTCAGCGCTGCGCCTTTTGCCGCCGTGGCCTCGCTTGGCACTCGGCGTCGCGGGCTCCCCGCCTGCGTCTTTGCCGTCCATGCTTCAACCTGTCAATCCCTCGCCCCCTCCTCTGCGAAACAAGCCCATCCCGTCGCTCCCCGGCCCCCGTCCTGTGATGTTTCGATCGATGAATAAATGATTGCTTCTATTTTCACCGGGAGCCCTCGGCCAACGCGAGCCGCTTTGCTGCCGCCGAATGCGCTCCAGATGATTGGGGGGGGGGATGGCGCCTCGAGCCGGGGACACGAGCCCCTTCGCCCCCCCTGCCCCGCCCCGACGGTCGCGTTTCATTTCATCACGTCCGACGCGACGGCCACAAACGCTGGTTTCTGAGAGGCTAATTAGCTGGCGCGAGCGGGTGCGCTGCGGCAACGGCGGGCGGCTAAAACAAGGCGGCAAAAGCTGTGACCTTGCTCGGGCCTGGCGAGCGGGCAGCTCCATTTCCCCGAAGACAAAAGCACTTAGCGGTAATAGAAAGCGAACAAGGCAACAACGATGCGCGCTCGGATGTCGCGTTGTGCTACAAAATGGACGCCGAGGTGTCACTGCGTGCGTGTCCTCAAACATCGGGGGCACCTCTGAAGCCAGTCGCTTCAGTAAATTGCGCTACAAGCCCGTCAGGATTTAGTTGTTGACTTTGAGTTCTGGAGTAGCTCACACTCACCGCCGGCGTTGGTTTGGCGCCGTGATTCCGAACCGCTGCGCTCACTTAAAAGGGGGAGTCGGCAGTTTGTTTTTTTCCGTTCGTATTTCGGAAACCACCACGTCTGAGGAACAACAACCTGTCAGAGACGGAAGGCGAGAGTGGGCGCGCTCCGAGCCGCTTCGGGGCCTCCCTCATTGGCTGACAAAAGGACACCAGAAGAGACGCCTTTCGGACAACCCGGAGAAGGCTCGGGCAAGCGTCGCGCTAAAATTGCAAGGCGCCGATTCCGCTGCCGTTGCACTTTGTTCACGTTGGACTGCGATGCTTGAGAAATCCCCAGCGACGTCGTTCCAACCTCCCAGCGGCCTTAAAATGGGACAAGTCTCGCAATGGCATCAGAAGGAAAGCGAACGATATGTTGACGTTGTTATTATTCTTTTTTGAGTCAACAGAGGGAACACAAATAGCTGACAGTTTCCTGCCGTTTCATGGCAAACATTTTCCAGCCGGCTTCATCACACGACACGTTCTCATTGTTGCTGTCAGCGGGGGTTCTGTCCAGCCTAAAATGATGACGGGCCCCCTCTGCAGCGCCAAATAACAGCTGATTATCAATCAATGCAGGCCTTCCAAAAATGAACTAAAACGGGGGGGCGAGAGCCAACCGACACCAGCGGGAGACGCTTGGTTTGAACAATGCACCGTAAAGCGTCCCAAAAAGATTCCGAGGAGGCCTGTGCCAAGGTTCGTCCCACCTCGTCAACAATACAAACATGCTAATTAGCGTTCCCTTCATGAGCCCAACTGCTTGACCTCCACCCTCCAAAACCACCAACATGACCCACATGAAGGCAGGTTTTTTTACCCAATTTGAAAGAGTATCCACTTGTCTTGGATATCCATCTTGGACTCAGCCTCCAAAAATCGATATCGGCCTCGCGCATAGTACATAGATAGATTCAAGCTGTTACGAATTTTACCGGTCAGCAGCGGAATAGCCATTCAGAAGCGGGATAGTGTCCGCTTGAAATGGCGACGCGTGCGTGATTAAACAGCAGCAAGATTAGGCAGCGGCGTGACGTAAGCGACGGGATGCGCTGACTAACTGGGGCACTCGGACATACCTTGTCAATCCGGCCTCGTCTTGTAGAAATCCCCAAGGGGGTCCTTGCGGGTCACCTCATTAGCTTCCGGAGAATTATGCGGCGCAATTAAGGAAGGAGGGATTCCGCCACCCGTCCCTGCCGCGACATGCTGTGGGGAACATGTGGCGGTGGTTTATTGCTTTAAACGCATTTTCAGCCCGAGCGGAGCACGTTTTCTGAGTTTGAATATTGCTTCAAGTGCTCATTGATTATTCATCGCGCGTGATGGATGTGACTGTCAGAGCCGCACGGCGCTCTCCGTCTCGGTGCACCCGAGGGTCGTGATGAGGCCGCACGGGGCTGGCTCTCCCCGGGCGTTTCAGCCATCGCTCCATCACGGCGCGGCCCAAATCGTGGAGTCGCAATCGCGTGTGCCAAGGGATCAGAGGGATTTCCAGCTGCAATGGTACATCGCGGCGGGATTAACCGACGGCCCCTCGCCAATTGCTATGCGGGCTTTTGCGGAGCGGGAGCTTGAACCCGTTCCGCCGGTCGGGGCGGGCGGGCCGGCGGAACGGTGTCAAGTGCGCATCCAAAAGCGCCAGGCCTCGTTTTGCGGCCACGGGTGAGCTGGCGTTCCAGCGCGCCAAACAGCTTTTGTTTGGGGTGTTAGTCGACCATCTTTTGGGCTCTGTAAAATGAAATCCGAAAGGGGAAACACAAACGTTGGGCTTCATCCATTTTCTCCCCTCCTTCCTCTCGCCACAATCACCGATCAATCCGCTAACATTCGGCGAGTCATGAATTATAAATGCCTTTATTTATTCACCCTCACACTCCGAGCTGCAGAGGCGGGGTGGGGGAGACGTTTCATCACGCTTCAAACGCACTCGGCCGGCGGGGAGAATATTCCATCTCCGTATGACGTTTCCGGACCGATGACAAAGCCGGGCCGTCACAGCAGACCTCATTCCTCGTCACTTGTCGGAGGACAGGTGGCGAGAGGACGCCGCGCTTTATCGGAAGCCTTTTTCATCATCTCTTCATGGTCCCCCGGGGCCTCGCGCCGGGCGGAATCTTTGCTGAGGTGCGCGCGGCCGCGTGCGGCGGAGCGCGTGCGTTTGTCGCAGAGCGGCGGTCTAGTGGAAGCCGACAAAACAGCGCCCCCTGCCTTTGATACGTTGCCGGAACGAAATAGTGGAATTCAGCGGGTGAGGGATCGGGCCCGGGCCGGTCTGAGCGTGGGGAGTGAGAACAAAGAAATATCATCTGCGCTGTACGTTGCACAATATTTGGCAATAAAGTCGACTTGACTTGACTTGAAGACGCAAATAAATGACGTCCGTTCCGTTGGACTGGGACGCGGGGGGTACAAAACAAGCCCCACCCCCCTCTTCGCCACCACAGAACAACAGAAGCGTCTCATCGCAGTCCCGACGCGAGCAAGGCCATCTTGAGACAAGACACGGGTGGAAGAGGCAAAGCTGAGATTGCTCAACCAGTTCTTGACGAATTGACACGGGCTG